TCAATTAGGAGGAGGGGTATGAGGGAGGAAAAAACATTTGCATACTTTTTATCCACCAATGTGAGAAAATGTAGTTAACAATGATAGGAAGGTTTTTCTGATAGAATCTTAAAGATAAAGGGGGTTTTCAGTTTCTCTAATTACCCTTAAATTTAAGCATGGTTTTCTAATATTTTGAAAGTAACGGAGGGTTATCTGAAAGCTATTTAAAAAGGGTTTTATGATATCAAGCCGTTGTTTTCTTTTCAAAACCTCGTCACAAAATCTTCTCTCTCGCAATATTTGTAGTTTTTTTTTCTAATCTGTGTTTATATGTTTGATATTTTAACTTAGTGACTTGTAAGTCAAAATAACCATCTGAAAAAACAAATCACGGTACGGATTAGAACCTGTCAACCCGATCCACTAGCCCGTTTATGGGCCGCGCCAACAAAGTCTTCATCTGGCCTCTAACCAGACTGGTCCAGGATGGGTCGGTTCTAAGTTGCCACATCCGATCCATTTGCCACACTTATTCCTAGAGTTTAAGTACGTCTACAAGCTATATTTACGATGCCTTTTTTACGCGTATTATTATGAGATCTGGATCCCAGAAGAGGTATTAAAAATCAGCATCTTAACAACTAAAACCTCACAACAATCCATATTTGCAACCGTCGCCTCAAAAATCCAAGTTGCTCAACCCCCTATTTATATGAACCAACGGATGACGGATCGAAGCGCAAACAATACCACCACTTGCATCCCTATCATCGCCAGTGGAGGAAGGGAGAGAGAGAGAGAGAGAGAGAAGTGGTCACGTTCTCCTTCCGATCGGTCAGAAAGCTAATCACACAAAAAAAAAAATGTCGTCGGTGGCGAGAGTAGACCTCGATGGAGCTCCGATCAAACCGATGACGACCTGCATGATCGGAGCTGGAGGCTTCATGGATCTCCATGCTGCGAGAAGATCAATGGCCGAGACCGCCTCACACCGTCCTCGCCCTTGACGTCTACAACGACAAGATCGCCACCTCGCGGAAAGGAACACGCCTGACGCGACGGCGCACCCCCTGGCTGGCCGCACTCACTTCCAAACCAGCCTCAACATCAAGCACGACTCCAGGCTCGAAGGCCTCATCAAGATGTCCGATCTGGTAAAAATTTGTCCGACCTGAACCTAGATCTGATCTGTCTTTGCCCAGATCTGCGATTTCTGAAGAGAACGTTTGTAGATCTGATGGCTTGTTTGTTTTGGTTGCATGCAGACGATCAATTTGGCTGCGATCTGCACTCCGGCGGATTACAACACGCGTCCTCTGGATACCATATACAGTAACTTCATCGATGCGCTCCCAGTGGTGAGGGCTGACTTCAGATCTGGGCGAATTTTGGGCGGATCTCTGGTGATCTGTTGTTGTTTGAGTCTAATTAGAGTCGGATGTGATAATGTAGGTTAGGTATTGCTCGGAGAATGGGAAGCGTCTGATTCACTTCTCCACTTGTGAGATTTACGGGAAGACCATTGGGAGCTTCCTCCCAAAGGATCACCCTCTGCGCCAGGTGACGTTTCTTTACCTTAGAATTTGGGGTCTCCGGTGTCCCGTTTTATTTCCTTTTAAGTGGGAGTTGTTGAAGATCTACGTTCTCTACATGCTTTTGTAGAAAATCATTAGCAAAGGACAATTTTCATTATGCAGATTTCGGTTAATGGAGTCTTTACGCGCCATCTGCATTATCTACGGGTGTAAAAAGAAAAAAAAAATCCTCATGGTTGGTAGATTAATAAAAAGTGCCATGCTCAGAATTCAATGGGATTTGTGTCAAAAAAGATAAACACGTGGTTTGTGCAAGTTGATTTGGAGGTATGTTTAAAGAAGGGGAATGGTCCATATCCTCCGATATCCTAGTCTATCTGAAGATATGTCCTACCTCTGGGTCCGTCCATGCGCTCACTTTGTCTCACTCCAATCTGAATTTTACTATATTACAAATCCATGAGAGTTCATAGTGGGTTATTTAATTGAGGAGGTGACCCCTACTCAAATTTAACCTTTAAACTATAAATGTTCCTGAAAGGATCGTGTAAATAACCTCAAAATTTAGGATGAAGGCTCTTCATCTTGTTCTTGTTGTTCTTTATTTTTGTTATTGTTGCAAACACAAGAGAGTGTTTAATTATCTGTTGAATAAAAAAACTGCGGCAGAAATAAATTTACTATTTTTGGGGAGGAACTCTTAAGGATTATTCCTAGCAACAAACATATACCTTGAAGTGTCCATTGAGCACTAAGGTGAAGGTTGATTGGAGGTTATACTATGCAGAATTACAAATCTAACATGAAGATGGGTTAAGATTTGCAGTTGAATTTGTTGTTTGTGGTG